CGAGCTGGTTCGACTACACAGGGCGCTCATTTTCAAAGCTGCCCTTGATCTCATCGCATTTTCGGCCCTTTCTGCACGGCTGCTGCATGCCATCACTCCTTAGTAATACTCTAGTGTTTCCATCTGTACTCTGTGCCCTTGGAACAGTGAAGAATACAATTTTCTGTGCATATATAGTCCATAAAATTGACCTCAGAGGCTTCAAAAAATCCAAAAAAGCTCAGAGGATCCCAGAAATACCTTACACTGCAGCTACACACTGATGGCATCTTTTGCCGAGCCGAAAATGCCATCAACACGTCGTTCTGACCAATTTTCGAGCCCTCTCACCTCAGTGTCCCTCCAACTTACAAGCGATTTACGGTCTCAGGTAAATCTGTCGAAATAATTGTACTTACGTAAGAGAGTCGGGGATCCTCCCATGCAGCAGCGAGAGTTGGCTCTGCGGAGCCGTGCTTCCTCGAGCTCAAGCTCATGACTACTAGTCTTCTATAAAATGTATTTAAAGTCGATCAATATTCAGAGCACGATCGACCTTTTCAGACACCTCCCAAGAGGGCCAGAAGTCGTCATCTCTATCATTGATCGAGGAGTTCATCAAAGAACTTGCCAGTGCCGCTCATGTGCAAGACTCCGCCAATCGCGGCATGTATCTCGTTCGGCAAATCCACACCAACGTGTGTCCAATTATTCTTCCCTCTTCCTTCATCCGGGACAACAAACTCCACGTTATGGTCGACGAATTGGATTTTCGTGTCCTCCTTGGATTCTGGCTTGATGAAAAATCCCACTGCGCTTGCTTCGCAGTATAACTCGGCCTTGTACTCATTCGGGACCTAGCCATTGGTAAACGGTTACGAAGACTTTGTGATGTCAGCTCGGAATGCGTACGCCAGTGGGCTTTAAGCACCACTCGAACCTGTTGAACCCCTTGTGTATGCTGTCTTGCATCATTATTCTGTTCAAAGGCTGAGCGCTGATCGATCATTGACACCAGCTGGGTCATCATGCCGTCTGGGATGTTCGCGTAATGGCGAAGGACATCGAATGTATGAGTCGCTGACTCTAACTACACGCCATGAGTAAGGCAGTACTATAAGCATTCGTCGAACAAAATTGGAAGAAAGCACAGACCGCCAGCTTGTCCTTCTTATGCGAAGAATCCGGATCGAAATGAGCTATGACTCTGCTCAAGATACGAGCGCATTTCAACCCGGCAGCGGCTCTCTTGTTTTTGGCTTGCATCTGGGCATAGTGAGGGTGCTTAGGATCTATCCAACCGGTCAAGGGGTACAAATAACCATCGCGCTTCAAAATCTGAAGAGCAGAAATGTTTTATCGGTAACTTTTGGTGTTGCACTGCGCTTGCATGTCACTCGCCTCATCTCTCAATTTCTTGTTGCGGTTGGTACTACTTAAGCCCTCTGTGATGCATTATTCCTTTGACGCTCCGCGCGGCGTCACTGATTCTGAAGGTTGTTGCATGGCACGCGGTTTTGAAGCTCTGACTGGCAAATGTTTACAGTAGAATGGGCCGACGATAACGCTGGAGAAACTTACACATGAACAAGAAATGGGTCAGGAAGGTAATGGCGACGTTTCTCAGCTGATCAAGACGGTCGGATTTCTCGCCACATGCGATGATTGAAGCCGCCATGTATCGAGCACCCGCCTCCCCTCCGCAATTATCGACGTGAAAAAGCAGAGAATCGAGCAGGAGGGAGAGGTCGACTTCAAGCGCTTTTTTGCGGGAGGAATATTCGTGTTTGTTGAGGTGACTCGTAGCCAGCTCATTGATGAGTATTTTGGCTTCTTCAACAAGCGTCTCCGTGTCCGACCCAAAGTTGCCAATAATCTTCTGCTTTTTGGCTATGTAGGCGGGGTCGCGGACAGTGGCCAAGGCTGACCTAGTGGAAGCTGATGGTGCGGAATCTGTGGAAACATGGAATCGCCCATCGCGGGGTAAGTTGAGTCGGTAAAGATTCCTTATGCTTTTGGGCTAAGCTTTTCGGGTTGGTTTAGGGGTCTGATATACGCTCGAAAGTCTTGCACGTGAGTACAAACTAACCTATCTTTGATGTATCAAGATTCAAGTCCTTAGTTTAATAAGAACTCCATTTCGGTAGTACTTTGCACGAAACAAAATGCACATTGGCCTCCAATCTATCACTGAAAAAAATTGCTATTTTTGAGCACCACTGTATTCGTTCCTATTGACTGATTTCAAGTTGATGATGCCGCGACTGAAATTTGAAACAAGCTCAGACAATGTTTTCAGCTATAAATAAAACCTGGTGAGCACCTTCCACATCGGCCTGGTGGTCTAGTAGTATGATTCCTTGTTAGGGACGAGTGCCGTTTCGAGGAGGTCCTGGGTTCAATTCCCAGCCAGGCCCATTATGTGGCAGAAATTTTTTACTGAGTACCTAAAATTTACGCCACACAACACGTGATGTATCCATGAAGTAACTCTCAAGGGTCGATGGCGTAGTTGGTTATCGCATCTGTCTAACATTTAGGTGCTTACACGTGTGTGCACAGAAGGTCCTCAGTTCGAGCCTGGGTCGACTCATATTTTATTTGAAAATTTGATGAAACAATGTTAGCTAAGACAATCTTGTTCAAAATGAGCTAGAATATTTATATCTATAAGATCTTCAGGCTTGAATCTTTACCCCCTGTCCCAATTATTCCTAAAGCAGACAGCCAGAGCTGGGGGACATGTCTTGTGTTTCGGGAAGGAGCCAAAGGATGCACGCGGGCGTGGCGGTCTAGTAGTATGGTTTACAACACCATCTCGAGGAGGCCCTGGGTTCAATTCCCAGCCAGGCCCTTGGGAAGGTGTGCTAGGATTTTTGTACGCCACAATATAAAGGACTCGAACCACTCTACTTTGAACGATGGTCAGCACAAGGAATTGGAATTGGAAGCTACTTAATTATTCATCTGGTATAAGTCCTATTTGAATTTTTAAAAGGTGAAAAGGAGCCTACAAACAAGTTCGAGGGATTGTCAGAAGATTCAGATAGTTTTTAGTATAGACTTGGTTAATATGTATGGCTAGAGGTTCCCGATGATTGCACATGAATACAACGTCTTGTCCAGAAATTGTATTAGCTAGTTATATAGTAAATATTTTACGAGCAGCAGAATCAATACACACATTCAGCAGTGGCATTGACGGATTTTAGTTGTGAATAATTTTCACCATGTTGAGCCGAATGCAAGGTATTCATGTTCTAGTATTGTACAATTGCTAATTTATGTTTGTGTTCTACCTACGTTTCTATACTTACAGAGCGGTGTGTACGTATATGTATGCGGATAAGTATCTAAGTACCCGCTTTAAATGTTAAATGAAGATAATTATATACCCAAAGTCCAAGAACGAAGGAAACCTACCCTCTCGAAAAGACAAGACCCACAAGGGTTCAAACCTCACACTCATCCCCAAATGGGTCCCACACCACTCCATCTTTAATAATCGGCGGAAGCCGCATCCCCGACGGTTTCCCGGTGCGCCAGCTAGCAGGCCCCACCTTCAAGTGTGCCTTCGCAGCCTGAGCCGCCTCTGCATCCTCCGCAAGCCGTTCAAGCTCCTCATGCGCCTCCTCCTCCCTCTGCGCGCGCTTCCAGTCTCTGCGCTTATACTTCTCCATGCGCCGCTGCATGCGGTCAAGTCGGCGCCGCTGCCACTGCGCTTGCGGCGGCGCGGGGGTAAACGCCGGCGCGCCCTGCAGCCATGCGAGATACGGGTCTTGCAGGACCGAGGTTGAGCGCGACCGGCTGGGCGACGTGACGACGAAGGGGGAGCTGCTGCTGCTGTCGCGCAGGGCTAGGACTGCGGGGGAGGATTTCAGCGGCGAGGACGCGGGCGAAGAGCTCCAGTGTCCCAGTCCGGGTGGAGCGTTCTCGTCCTCAGTATCGGAGGATTCGGAGACAGGGTAAGGCGGGGCGCTGCTGTGCTGGTGGACGAAACGTAGGTAGGTGGCAAAAGCGTGGGGGGCGTTGAATTTGTCCGTGGGGAGCATGACGTTGGGGTCTTCAGGGAGCTCCCCCTCTTGCTCTTCGTCATCATCCGAATCGGACATTTCGGAGGGGTTGATATCTAGGTCCTTGCCCTTGCCAGAGAAGAGACCACTGGAGGACATATCGCCGTATTCCTGGTCGGCCTCAGAGTCATTGCCGTCTTCCGATTCGCTTCTTGATACCGACCATGTGGATTGGCGAAACGATGGTGCAGGAAGCTTGTTGACGGGTAGAGAGAATTCGGGCTTGGGAAAGGGGAGCGCACTGTGAGGGAGGAGCCGAACACGCCCACGGGCTTTGAATACGTAAGGAGTGTTGGAAGAACCAGTGCGGCGCGGAAGCTCAGAGTTGTTCAATGTGATGTGTACCGCGGTAGTCTCGTTGTGATGCTGAAAAAAAATTAGTTTCGAGTTGCGCAATGGAAGAGAAAAAACAGACGGACATAGATGACACCGGAAGCAAGGTCACCGCCTCGAGGCCAGAAATGTCCCAGAGTGTACTCTTCTTCGAGCTGCCATGTCCAGCTCGAAGTTTCGCCGTCATCTTCACCCTCGCCCTCATCCGTATCCTCTTCCACGTTACTTTCTGTTGCGCCACGGGATTGTGTCCCAGCATTGTCATCCCGGAGCGAGTCCTCCTCCACCTCAGGTCTATATCTGCACGGGTCACGGGCGGTCGATAGGCGCACCGTCGTAAATCCAGTCCTTATTTGACCTGGCTTGTAGGTCTGTGCGTACAACGAAATCTTCTTCTTTAGCTCGAAGAGGTGCCGATCCTCGCTCTTATCTCCATAGCCTCCGCCAAACAAGAAGGCAATAAGACAGCGCAGTTGAACAAAGGTGTAGCTCAGTGGCACCTGAACTATGCGGTAGATGCCACCCATCCGTGGTGAAACATTTGGACGCACAAGCTGAAAACGCAGGGGAAGGTGCTGGGAAAATGACGTAGGCGCAGGCAGTGAGTGGGTGAGGACCTGAGTCCGCTTGCGCCCTACAGGATTTGTCGGAGAGTCCAGAGGGCGGGCCGGGAGAGGAGTTCCTGTGAAAGGGGTCTGGGGGATTTGGAAGGAGCGGGTTGGCAGGGGAGTAAGGGGGATAGATGTCATACGCCGCTTCATTGGTGGCTCTCGGATGTCTTGCTGCTCATTGTCTAAACTGGCTTCCTCGCTGTCTCTAATCGCGAGCTCGAGGGTTCGCTTGGGCGCCATGACTGCAACAGATCCAAAGTCAAGTCAGAGGCAAAAGTCACAGTTGAAAGTAAACAACAAAGTGTGACCCCGTGACCGATCGCGACCAAATTATCCACGTGATGGCGCGTAGGCGACGACGCCGGACAGGGGGTTGACTCGAACTCGACCAATGTTGTACTTTGAACCCAGCGTTCCTTTCGATCCTTATTTCCGATGTGGTAAATTTCAACCTAGCTTCAGCGGTTTCGAGTCGCTTTCCGAAGAGACAGCGAAGTCTCGCCGAAAACATCACTGTAGATCAAGATGAAATACTATAAAGAGCCAGGCCATACCACCAGACTCTCTATCTACATTCGAAACCCGACAGCACTCAATGTCAAACGCTGAAATGCCCCTTCCAAAGGACTTTCTCTTCGGATATGCAACTGGTACTCAACATTCCTTCGAAACTCTTCAATTCGCACCTGATGGATCTGGCTTCCAGCGGCCTACCAAACCGAAGGCTCTCCAACTACATCTGGGCGCGGCCCCTCGATATGGGACACTTTCACGCACAAGGTGCCCTCTCCAATCGCAGATGGCTCCTCAGCCGACGTCACGACAGACTCCTTCCGGCGTTGGAAATCCGACATCGCGCTACTGCACTCCTACGGCGTGAACTCGTATCGGTTCTCAGTATCGTGGTCTCGGATAATCCCTAGCGGCGGGAGGAATGATGAGTTGAATCAGGAGGGGATCAGGTTTTATCGAGATATCCTCGAGGAGTTGCTGAGGTTAGGGATCACCCCGTGTTTGGTGCGTGGACTGCTGCTAATTGATGCTTTTAATCTTACCTGGAAAAAGACGCTTTACCATTGGGACTTGCCTCAAGCGCTGCACGACCGGTATGGCGGTTGGCTTCACCGCGAAATCGTCGACGACTTTGTTCACTACGCCAAGGTACACATCGACCTCTGTCGAACTGCTCTTCTATATGAAATCACAGAATTTATTGCTGTGCTGTAGGTCTGCTTTGAAGCATTCGGAGATATCGTCAAGCACTGGTATTGGTCCTAACCAGAGGTTCCAAAACGACGTGACTAACCTCCCATATTTCAAAGGATCACACACAACGAGCCATGGTGCATCTCCGTCCTGGGCTATGGCCATGGCGTTTTCGCCCCAGGGCGCTCCAGCAACCGCGAACGTTCTGAAGAGGGCGATTCCAGTACGGAGCCGTGGATGTCCGTTATCTCTCTCTTTCCGTCTTCAAACTTGTTTCCCCCCCTCTCTTCCCCGATGCGAGGCGTGCTTAAGCTTGTACTGATCGAGTAATATGACTGCTAGTGTGGCGCACAATCTGATCCTCTCACACGCATACGCCGCCAAGCTATACCGGGAGGACTTCCAGAGTATGCAGGGAGGGCAAATCGGTATTACGCTCGACTGCGTTTGGTACATGCCGTATGAAGACAGCCCAGAATGTGAGCTTAATCACAAAATGTACACACAGCATTTACTAAGACTCACTAGGTATTGAAGCTGCACAAAACGTGATGGATGCGCGCCTTGGTAAGCATTTCTGATCTGCTGGGTGAGATTGAATGCTGAATATGTCTCATTTCCATCTCTGTAGGTTGGTTTGCTGTGCGAATGATATCCTCTGTTTCTGTTTGGGATGTTTATACGGACCTTATTGTTTCTAGGATCCCATATACAAAGGCCACTACCCCGCGTCTCTCGTTTCTTTGGCGGGCGACCGCCTCCCCAAGTTCACGCCGGAAGAACTCTCAGTTGTCCACGGCTCCTCGGACTTTTTTGGACTGAATACGTACACGAGTAATCTTTCCAGTGAGTCTCAGTCTCAGTGGATTCCTTTCACAAATTTCACGTCCCTCATGCTCCTGGTTGCTTTTTAGAGCCTGGTGGAGAGGATGAATACAAGGGTAAAGTGTTGACGGGATTTATTCGGCCTGATGGAACGCAGCTGGGGACCCAAGGTCAGACTTCTTGCGCTTCTGTACTCGCTCAGTTTTTGAAAGCTGTCAAGGCCATGTCGTGTGGCTCCAGAGCTGTGCGTGATTTTCTTTCTTTCTCTTTTGCCCTGAAGCTGAATTCATGCTAGACCCACCGGGCTTCAGAGCGGTATGCCCTCCCCTGCGGACAGCCTTGATAAATAACTACTAAAGATTGGAATCCCTGAAGCTTCTTAACTATCTTTACAAGGTGAATTGAGCGCCCAAATCTTTCGCGTTGTTCCCAACTAAATACTCGCTGACTTTATAGAATTATAAAAAGCCTATATAGTGAGTTTTAAATCTTTTGCGTACTTGGAATACGCGTCTTTGGAAAAATTAACCGCCCTGGGGTGAAGC